CTTACTGAAATCAAGGTATATTAGGTCCACCGCATTTCCCTTATCCAATAAGTCCGTTACTTTCTCGAAGAAGGAGATCAGATTGGTTTGGCACGATCTGCCTTTGGTAAAACCATGTTGTAATTTGTCCCAATTGCCATTGACCTCAAGGCCCTCAACTACTTTCTCCTTCAGAATTTTCTCCAGGACCTTGCACACTACAGATGTTAAACTAACAGGCCTGTAGTTACCTGGGTCACTTTTTTTCCCTCTCTTGAAAATAGGAACCACATTAGCTATTCTCCAGTCTAACGGAACAACCCCTGAGTTTACGGATTCATTAAAAATTATCGCTAAGGGGCCTGCTATTTCTCGCGCTAATTCCTTCAATATTCTCGGATGAAGATCATCCGGTCCGCCCGACTTAGTCCCATTAAGGTGTTCAAATTTGGTTTCTACCTCGGATATGGTAATCCCCCCTCCTGTATCCCCCTCTGTCATGCTGCTAATATTCCTAATCCCTTCATTGGCCTCATTGAACACTGATGCAAAATATTTGTTTAGATATTGTGCCATGCCTAGATTATCCTTAATCTCCTCTCCAGCTATAGTCTTCAGCGGTCCCACTTCTTTCTTTGCTTTCTTCCTAGTTATATGGCTGTAAAACCTCTTACTATTGCTTTTAATTCCCCTCGCAAGGTCCAACTCTACACGGCTTTTGGCCTTTCTCACTCTATCCCTACATGCTCTGACCTCACTAAGGTAAGTTTCCTTGCTGATCCCTCCCCTCTTCCACTCTTTGTACGCTTTCTGTTTTTTCCTAATCGCCCCTTTGAGACGGTCGCTCATCCAGTTCAGTCTAAATCTCTTGCTTACTAACCTTTTTCCCTTTTTCGGGATACAGGCCTCCGACAGCTCATGCAGCTTTAACTTAAAATAATCCCAGGCTTCCTCTGCCTTTAGATCCATTAATATGTTTGCCCAATCCACTTCCCTTACCAGTCCTCTTAATTTGTTAAAATTAGCCTTTTTAAAATTATAAACCCTAGTCTTTGACTTAATTCTGTTACTCCTTCCATTTAGTTTAAACCGAATTAGCTCATGATCACTGGAGCCAAGGTTGTCCCCTACAACCACTTCCTCGACGAGGTCCTCACTACTCACCAAAACCAAATCCAAAATGGCCTCCCCCCTCGTCGGTTCAGCTACCACTTGATGAAGGAATTGATCAGCAAGCACATCTAGGAACATCTGAGCCCTATTATTGCTACTAGCATTTGTTCCCCAATCTATATCTGGGAAATTAAAGTCCCCCATAATTACACAGTTCCTATTAGTATTTACTTCCCTAAACACATTAAATAGTTCTTTATCCATATCCTGGGTTGATCCCGGCGGTCTATAGCACACAGTTAACTACAGTTAAGAAAAAAAACAAAACCCCAAACCTTTATTCTAGTCTAGATATGCCCTGACTGTTAGGATTTCTCTCTCTTTATTCATTACTTATAAGTCAGTAACCTTAGCCCTATAATCATTTAAATGATCTAATTAGTTGTTGGAACAATTGACCCTATCATCCCCAGCCCCTCAATAAATCTCATTTCTACACATCCCTACATGGCTGAGGATTTGGCCCTACAGCTGGTATAAATAAGCAAAGGTCCTTTGAAGTCAATGTAGTGACACCAATTTGCACCAGCTCAGGCTCTGGTGCATAATTTCTTATCATTACTGATTAAAGTTAATAATTAGTTTAACATTTTTACAAAGCTTTTCACTTTTCCTTTATCGTGTTTTAAAAGGCTGAAAAATATTATCTCCACACAACTAAATTGTAAAAGTAGGATTCTATAACAAAAAACTTAATTGTGTTATAATTATTTTGGTTAGGTGATATTTTTTTAAACTAAAATGATTATACTCTGATATAAGCCCTAGTGTGGATGCAGCTGTACCAGTATAAAGGTGCCTTATACTGTTATAGCTTATTCCCATTCCTGTACAGGAATAAGCTATACTGCTAGGAACTTTTTATATCAGTACAATTGCATCCACATTAGGGGGCTGTACAACTTTATCAGTTTGAATGGTACAACTTTTCTGTGTGGACAAAAGCTTAATTGTGGGATTATAGGAGAGACATGCAACAGTATGCAAAGGAAATGTGAACTTTCATGAACTTAAAAAACAAATAATGAGCTCCACTTCGCTAAGATTACCACCTCTCTAAATATCACTCACAAGGACTCTTTGAAGGAAATAGGATAAGGAGTGGGAGTGGCTTGTCTTCTGAAATACCATTTAAAAAAATCAACATACAAATTACTCTGTTTAAAGCACAAGGAATGTAGAACCTAAACCAAGCCAAATAATTCATATCCGTGTAGCACTCCCTCTTACAATTATTACATCATGCTTTCCTACGAGCTTGAAGTAATAGTGACAGTGGATTCAGTGTTGCAACAATCCAGGCACCAGCAAATGAGTCTTCAAATGGAAGGTTAGGCTTTGGTTATTTGACTTTGCCTGATCTGCGTCACACCCTTACTGATTGGAAATGTCAGTCCTAGATCAGCGTATAAATATTAACTCTTGCCTACATATGCTAACTTCTTAGATAAGTTTGATGAATCACCCAGGGCAATAATACATATAGACTTTGGTCACAAACAGCAAACCAAAAGCACATTTAATAGAGAGGGAGTGCCACATCTCAGGTTTACATTCAGACCTGTCAAATATCAGACATTTTGTGTGACACACGTGACACACGTAGCCTTTTCACACCTACCTGCTTCCCAGATAAAATGTCATGCATTTCTAAAAGTATGTGCTTCCCCACACTTTTGGGCAGAAGACAGCACTTGGAAGAATTTGCTGCTACAGTTCAGTTTCCCTTGGTTGAAGGAAGCTCAGATTCAGCTTCAACCACCTGTTCTTCATCCATGAGCTGATCTTGTCCAAGCACCTAAAAAAAATAAAAAGGTTTGAGTGGGATCTCTAGCTATCAGGAATTAAGAGGAAACTTTCTCTGGGGGCCAGGTTGTCCCATAAACGGCTCTTGCATCTGGTAGGCAATTCCTACGTTTCCTGGAAAAAATATTTCTATGTTGCAGGAGGGAGAGCTAATCTCTTAGAGACCCAGCTCACAACTCCTGTTCCAAATCCCCTCCTTCCCACAGAGGGAATGCATAATGCTGTACACCAAGCCACCAGAATATACTTCTTCTCTTTCCCTGGCAACCGTGCCCTTGTGATGAGGACAGGCTTGGTGAAAATGTGAGTTCAGGTATGTGCCTGTGTTGAGTTTCAGATGTAAATAGGAGAGGGAAGTTAAGTATGCTAAAAAGTTCCCCATTCATGCTCATTATCATAAACCTGCAAAAACTATATTCCTAAATTATGAAAAGGAGCAATTATGCCAATGCTTCGTCTCATCTCTTGTGTTGTATTCATGGAAGGTACCCTGCACCAGCAGGGAGAGGGGAGTCTCCTTGCACAGTTGTTGAAATATAAGCCTTCAGCTGTCGTGTGGGTTTAACTTTTCTGAGAGTAGACCCGGAACCATACCCAAGTGTACCCATGACTGTTGAAAAGTCACTGGCTCTCTGAGTGTCACACTCCAACTTTCCCACCTGCTATTCAGCCTTTTCGATGAATTGTGGAAGTGGGTTCCCAGACTTTTCTATGGTGACACCCATACTAGTTTTACTGAGTATAAGGAACAGAGGCTAAACAGTAGGATTTAAGTGGTTCCAAGTAATAACAGACAGAACAAAGTACGTCACCAAGCAAAATAAAATAAAATGTGCAAATCTATGTCTAATCAAACTGAATACAGATAATCTCACCCTCAAAGATGCTTCAGTAAGTTTTTTTCCTCAGACTGGACACTTTCCAGGCCTGAGCACAATTCTTTCCCCTGGTACAGCTCTTGTTCCAGCTCAGGTGGTAGCTAGGGGATTCTTCATGATGGCTCCTCCCCCTTTGTTCTCTTTCACCCCTTTATATATCTTTTGCCCCTCTCTGGGTTCCCACCCTCTCTTTCTCAATGGAAAGACACCAGGTTAAAGATGGATTCTAGTTCGGGTGACTTGATCACATGTCACTGCAAGACTTCATTGCCCACTTGCCAGCACACATGTATACGGGAAGACTTACAGGTAAACACAGCCATCTGCAGACAATTGTCCTGGTTAATGGGAGTCATCAAGATTCCAAACCACCACTAATGGCCCACATTTTGCATAATTACAATAGGCCATCAGAGTTATATTTCATATTTCTAGTTTCAGATACAAGAGTGGTACATATGTACATATAGGATGATCACACTCAGTAGCATATAAGCTTTGTAATGATACCTTACAAGATACTTTTTGCATGAAGCATATTCCAGTTACATTATATTCACTCATTAGCATATTTTTATAAAACCATATAGACTGCAACGTCACAGAGGGCTATTGTCTCCTGGGATCCTCCTCACTGTTCTGGTGCTGAGTAGTGTCTGTGGATTCCTCAGGATCTGTGAGAAAAGACATAACTAGTCGATTGTGAATGTTGACTACATGTGTCTGATGAGCCTTTTTTGATGTGGTAGTTTACATTTTTGTAACGTTTTCTGGAGGCCAGAGTGACAGATACACCACGTCTTATGTGCATGTGTTCTTGATTCTTGATGTTCTCCTTCCTTGCCTTTGTACACTGTGAGCTAGATGATACGGGGAGGCTGTATATCATGTGGTGACAGATGTAAAGACAGCAATGGCTCTCTGGATGCATTTGTGAGTACTTGGTGATATAATACTGCTTAAGCATTGCCAGTTACATGCACCATGTCACACTTCCATAGTGGCACTCCTTTTTGTTTGTCATTCAAACATATGTGATGCAATAGTTTATTTTTAAAGTATTTTCTGGTTTTCATTCAACAGGTAACTGAAGTGCCTACTCGGGTTTAGGCATTTTGAGCAAATGCAGAAAACATTAACAGAGTGATGCAGGCCACAGTGTGTGTAGTGCTATGGCTCTTAGTAGACATACACACGGTGGATAGTTGTAATACTTCTAGACTATTTGATAGTGGACAACTTTGGTGATACTTGGACTCAGCTGTTCCCACAGCTGGGGAAGACTCTCCATTCTCATATCCCACCATTTTTTCCTCAGTTCTGCCACTGAGCATGGGACATTTAACTTTTTGTTAAGTATTTCCAGCTGCACCCTAAATCTGGTGCTGGGCACTGGAGGACATCTCCCTCCTGGTGCCAGAGAACTGGAGCAAGTCCTTGGTCAGGACAAGTAATGCAAGATGCTCCACATTAGCTGGAGCAAAGTTGGGGAGCCTCTTGTAACTGGCTATTGGGGTACTTAGTATCTCCGATTGTGAGCTCATTTTTCAAATTGCACCTGGCATGCCAGTTGCAATCAGTTGTACGGAGATCAGTGCAATTCTCATTTTTGTCCATATGATGTGATTGTACCTGCATTTTTCTGTGCTCATATTTTGTCATTTTAATTTTTTTACCCCGCATTTTTCCTTCTGAGAACTGATGGTCAGATGCTGCACCAGTCCTTTCTCCCCATTGCATCTGCAATGGCAGCCACAGTGGAAAATTTAGCTCTACATTCTTCTGTAGCCTCTAAACTGACACACAGGGGAGTACTATGCACTGATAGCTATACATAATAGTTTACATTTCTAACACCTTTCATCCCAAAGTATCCCAAAACATCGTTGAAAAAATATACAAGTATTCAAAAAATAGCCATCTGTTGGGTGAAATGTAGCAGCAGTTTAACCTCACTCAACACTACACAGCTGTTCAGGGTGGGAAGTGAAGAAGAATACTCTATCCATTTGAAACTGCAGAAATAAATTAAGTTGGCAGAATGAAATCTGACCAGAAAACTTCAGTTTAACATCTGTATTTCTAGTACAAAAAGGCTAACTGGGCATTAATAAGGCTAGTCAGACCTCAGTTCTGTGTGCCATTTGAAAGACAGCACCTTATAGTGTCATTCAGCCCTGTGCTTGGGCTTTCATAGAATTCTAGAAGATTAGGGTTGGAAGAGACTTCAGGAGGTCATCTAGTCCAACCCCCTGCTCAAAGCAGGACCAACACCAACTAAATCATCCCAAAAAGAATGAGGAGTACTTGTGGCAGTGAGTGCTTTGTCAAGCCGGGCCTTAAAAACCTCTAAGGAAGGAGATTCAACCACCTCCCTAGGTAATGCATTCCAGTGCTTCACCACCCTCCTAGTGAAATAGTTTTTCCTAATATCCAACTTAGACCTCCCCAACCCAGACCACTGCTCCTTGTTCTGTCATCTGCCACCACTGAGAACAGCCGAGCTCCATCCTCTTTGGAACCCCCCCTTCAGGTAGTTGAAGGCTGCTATCAAATCCCGCCTCACTCTTCTCTTCTGCAGACTAAACAAGCCCAATTCCCTCAGCCTCTCCTCGTAAGTCATGTGCCCCAGCCAGCTGATAATTTCTGTTGCCCTCCACTGGACTCTCTCCAATTTGTCCACATCCTTTCTGTTGTGGGGGGCCCAAACTGGATGCAATACTCCAGATGTGGCCTCACCAGTGCCGAATAGAGGGAAATAATCACTTCCCTCAATCTGCTGACAATGCTCCTACTAATGCAGTCCAATATGCCGTTAGCCTTCTTGGCAACAAGGGCACAGTGCTGACTCATATCCAGCTTCTCATCCACTGAAATCCCCAGGTCCTTTTCTGCAGAACTGCTGCTTAGCCAGTCGGTCCCCAGCCTGTAGCGGTGCATGGGATTTTCCGTCCTAAGTGCAGGACTCAGCACTTGTCCTTGTTGAACCTCATCAGAGTTCTTTTGGCCCAGTCCTCCAATTTGTCTAGGTTACTCTGGACCCTATCCCTACCCTGCAGTGTATCTACCTCTCCCCCCAGCTTAGTGTCATCCGCAAACTTGCTGAGGGTTCAATCTATCCCATCGTGCAGATCATTAATAAAGATGTTGAACAAAACCGACTCCAGGAACGACCCCGGAGGCACTCCGCTTGATACCGGCTACCAACTAGACATCTAGCCATTGATCACTACCCATTGAGCCTGACAATCTAGCTAGCTTTCTATCCAATTATAGTCCATTCATCCAATCCATACTTTTTTAACTTTCTGGCAAGAATACTGTGGGAGACTGTATCAGAGCTATGCTAAAGTCAATATATATCATGTCCTCCGCTTTCCCCATATCCACAGAGCCTGTTATCTCATCCTAGAAGGCAATCAGGTTGGTCAGGCATGACTTGCCCTTGGTGAATCCATGTTGACTGTTCCTTATCACCTTCCTCTCCTCCAAGTGCTTCAAAATGGTTTCCTTGAGGACCTGCTCCATAATTTTTCCAGGGATTGAGGTGAGACTGTCTGGTCTGTAGTTCCCCGGATTCTCCTTCTTCCCTTTTTTAACAATGGGCACTACATTAGCCTTTTTCCAATCATCTGGCACCTCCCCCGATCACCACGAGTTTTCAAAGATAATGGCCAATGGCTCTGCAATCACATCAGCCAATTCCCTCAGCACCCTCAGATGCATTAGATCTGGACCCATGGACTTGTGCATGTCCAGCTTTTCTAAATAGTCTTAACCTTTTCTTTCACCACTGAGGGCTGTTCAGCTCCTCCCCATACTGTGTTGCCCAGGACAGCAGTGTGGGAGCTGTCCTTGTCTGTGAAGACGGAGGCAAAAAAAGGTTTGAGTACTTCAGCTTTTTCCACATCATCTGTCACTAGATTGCCTCCCCATTCATTAAGGGTCCCACACTTTCCCTGACCCTTTTCTTGTTGCTAACATACCTGTAGAAACCCTTCTTGTTACCCTCCACATCCCTTGTTAGCTGCAACTCCAGTTGTGTTTTGGCCTTCCTGATTACACCCCTGCATGCTCGAGCAATATTTTTATACTCCTCCCTAGTCATCTGACC